GGACCCTGGGATCATGACCTGAGCTGAAGGCAGACGCTTAACGACTGAGCCACCCAGGCGCCCCTCAAATAAATAAATCTTTAAAAATATGTAAAGTACCCTTTTTAGTGTATAGTTCTATGCATTTTTTTTTTTTTTAATGGCTCCATGCCCAACGTGGGGCTTGAACTCATGACCCCTGAGATTAGGAGTCACATGCTCTACTGCCTGAAGCCAGCCAGGCGCTGCCACAGTTCTGTGCGTTTTGACGAATGTAAACAGTTTGTAACCACCACAGTATCAAAATATGGAACCGTTCCATCACTCCCCAAAATTTCTCTGTGCTTCTTTCTCCTCTTTCCTTCTGAGTTTCTTTTTTTCCTCCCAGTGTTACTGAGATATAATTGACATATAATATTATATAAGTTTAAGGTGTATAACACAATGATTATATATTGCAAATGATTACCACAGTGGGGTCAGTTAATATCTGCTCACCTCACATAATTACCATTTCTTTTTCATGGTGAAAACATTTAAGATTTACTTTCAACAACTATCAAGTATCTAACACATTGCTGTTAACTATACTTACCATGCTGTGTATTACATCCCCAGAACTTTGGGTCTCAATCTTTTAGTGGGCCTTTGCCTTGGACGGGCTTCACATATTTTTCTCAGTTTCCCCCATCCCTCTTAGATGGGACGGGATGGCTAGAATGGGATAGAATGGGCTGGAGTTGGGTATTTCTCTCCCCTCACTCAGGTCAGTTAGGTTCTGATAAAATCCTGATTGGTTATACCTTGGTTAAATAGTTTTTCCTGAAGGCAGACCTTTTTAAGAGGAACAGAATGCTCTGGTGTATTTCAAAATGATTCTTTTCCCTTTCCCCGCTGGAAGCACAGGCGATTTTCCTCTAATATTTACCGTGGGGATCTAGTGAGCTCCTGGAGGTAAAACTCACAAGAGTCTAGGGGCCCCAGTGGCTGGGTCCCCTGACGTTTTTCTCTCTCAAACTTGGCCACACTGAACCGCCAGCAGTCCATCAATTACAGTTCAGGTTTCCCTACCCTGGGGCTGGTTTCCATAGAGGTTTTAGCTCACTGGTTTCTGCTCTGATAAGTGTAATTCTTCGTATTAGCCTTTTGGACTTTCCAGTTTTAGGTGCAGTGGGTGACTCACTTTTCTTACAGATCTCAGAAGAGTTGATTTTTCTGTTTGTTGAGCTTTTTACTTATTAGGACAGAGTGATGATTTCTAGGCTTCTTTTATGGAAGACTGGAACCCAGAAATCCAAACCTAAATTCTAAACTTAAATTACTTTAAATTCTGTTTATGTTCATTTCACTTTCTGAAGTTGGATCCAAGGGATCTAAATTTGTTGTTTCTACAGACAACTTGTGATGACTTTTTTTTTAAGATTTTATTTATTTGACAGAGAGAGACACAGTGAGAGAGGGAACACAGGCAGGGGGAGAGGGAGAGGGAGAAGCAGGCTTCCCGCGGAGCGGGGAGCCTGATGCGGGGCTCAATCCCAGGACCCTGGGATCATGACCTGAGCTGAAGGCAGACGCTTAACTACTGAGTCACCCAGGCACCCCCCCCTTTTTTTTAAATGACTTCTTTTCTTTGTATGTTTGTATGATTGGTAACTGATTTTTGGTTGAACCTCATCTTTGGGAATTGTTAGGTCCTAAATTGGGAATGTTTTCATGCAGACAAGATTTGCATTTGCTCCAACCCACAACCATGGAGTGCTAGAAGTCTGAGATAGCGTTAGCCTCCTTTGTGGGCCCTGCAGAATGTGTGTGATTCAGGCTCTCCACCTGGATGTTGGACCAAAGTTTGGATATCTGATAGGGTGACCAACTGTCTGGTTTGCCCAGGACAGAGGGATTTCCTGGGATATGGGACTTCCAGGGTAAAACTGGGACAGTTTTGGGCAAACTGGGATGATGAGGCATCCTAATTCTGATTCCAGTGTTTATATCTGCATTTGCCCAGACAATTCTGGACATATATGTGTCTTATATGTGCATTTGCCAGATAGCCCTGGCTTTCTCATATGTTTGTGCCTTCCTTGGAGATTTCTGATACTTTCCTGCAAGTCCAACAAAAAACTATGTCTGTTGTAATTTACCCAAGATCGAGTGATATAGTAGTGGGCAAGCCCTTCAGAGCATCCTGGAAGTATAACCTGTAATTTTACTTTTTACCTAAGTTATTGAGAACGTGTTTCCATGTTACTCCATAGTCTTCTACAGTATAATTACTAGTGGTTGCATAGGATTCCATTTTATGTCTGTACCAACTCTTACTGAATCAATATATGAAAATGCTGTGGTGGAAATCTTTACAGCTAAATCTTTGCACGGTTCAACATTATCTCCTTGTGATAGATTTCCAGAAGTAGAACTGCTGAATCAAAAGGTTTGCAACATTTTAAGCCTTTTTTTTTTTTTTTAAGATTTTATTTATTTATTTGACAGTGGGAGAGTTAGCAAGAGCTGGAACACAAGCAGGGGGAATGGGAGAGGGAGAAGTAGGCTTCCCGCTGAGCAGGGAGCCCCATGTGGGGCTCGATCCCAGGACCCCGGGATCAAGACCTGAGCCGAAGGCAGACGCTTAACAACTGAGCCACCCAGGCGCCCCCATTTTAAGTCTTTTGAATTATATTACCACATTGTTTTCCCATTTCTCTACACCTATATGACACTGGGAATTATCATATATTTCAGTCTTTATCACTTTGAAAAATAATAAAATGGTCTCCCTTTTTTAAGTAAGGTACATGACCTTTGATACTAGTGAGCCCTATATATGGCACCGCAGTATTTCGACAACCAGGTTTCAGGTACACATTCACTCTTAGAAATGTCTTGCCCCGGGCGCCTGGGTGGGTCAGTTGGTTAAGCGACTGCCTTCGGCTCAGGTCATGATCCTGGAGTCCCTGGATCGAGTCCCGCATCGGGCTCCCTGCTCGGCGGGGAGTCTGCTTCTCCCTCTGACCCTACTCCCTCTCATGCTCTCTGTCTCTCATTCTCTCTCTCTCAAATAAATAAATAAAATCTTTAAAAAAAATAAAAAAATAAAAAAAAGAAGTGTCTTGCCCCCACTCTCATTGAAACTGCTAATCAAAAGGTTTGTCTTACAGCCTCCATATCCTACTCTATGTATAGATAGATAGATGTTCATGTTCTTAGAACTGGCTGTTGAAATCAGGTATAGAAAATAAATAGGGAGTAGCTTTCACTGAAAATGTACCTCTTTGCTGGTCTCTGAGCACAGCAGGGGACCCCTAGCTTCCTTCCGTGAACTCTTCCCTCATAGGTACTTTGGTGCCTGTCAGCCTTAGGCTTTCAGCCATAGGCTTCCAGGAGACCCAGATGCTGAGCGGCTGGTGTTGACCCAGGGTCTGTACAGAGAACCTCATCAGTCAGCATTTATTTCCCTTTTGCTTAGAAGACTGAGCTCTGTAGCGTGCTTAGTACCTTATTGAACATTTACCTAAATGCAGTGCTGGTGGGTATTGCAGGTCGGATAAAGATTGGAGTGTAGGAGTTTGTTTTTTAGTAGATATGATGAATGAAACAGAAAGATAGCTCTACCACAGGCAGAAAAGTCCCTTGCCATGTGAGTCTGCACAGTGCTTTCGTGTACTACATCTAAAGGAGCTGGTGCTGTTTGGAACAAGACAGAAGTCTTCTGAGGAATGCATCTCTAAAATTGACGGTGCAAGTCAATGGGAAAATGATTGGACATGAATACACTTGTGGTAAGCACTCATCTTTTGAATAATTCTGGGCATAACCATGCACACACATCTTCATTATCTCACTAGCATGTTTTGAGAATTCAGGGCTGGAAAATGATAACACAATAAATATATTAGATCATGATTGAACTCCATTACCTTTGCAGTGGTGTTGTAATGTTTTCACGGTTATAGTTGTTCATGTGTAGGTAGCCACAGGACAGTCACTACTGAGAGTATTCCTGCCTTAAAAGGCAGTCTTGGAAGGCAAATTTGAATTAGCCTCCAGGCAGCTATTGAAACTAATTAGGAACCAGTTAGAACTGCTTTGGGCTGGGTGGATGTTTGTGGGCCCTGGAAAATTCCCCAGGGAACAGAGTGACTGTGTTAGAGGCAGGTCATTGTAGTTACTTTAGTTAAGAAATGGAGGGATCAGGGTCTGCCGCCCACTGTGGAAAGGGGGCAGCCAGGGGAGACCCGGGCACGGGCAGAGCCACCTGGGCATAGAGCGGAATCCCAGACGGTAGATGAGGGACAGCAAAAAGGAGAAATTGGGATGGGTTTATTTCTGTCATCCTGTAGGAATACTCATTTTCCTTTCCTTTTCTTCACTCCGTCTCCAGACAGCTCTGTAATCAAAAACTTAAACCTTAGGATGTTTGAAACATTTTTATCCAAAAGTTTCTACTGTGTTTTTTCTCTCTGCTTTGTATTCATCTAGCATCTGTATACTTTTTCTTGAAATTGACTTTTTGCTTCTCATCTCAGTCTTCTGCCTAACCATTCTCTTAAATTTTTGTCCTTTAGAAAGAAATAGAACTTTATTCTAAAATTTTATCTCCATTTGTTCCTTATTTTATATGCATTTTCTTTGTGGATGCCTTCTTAGCTTGAGAACTTAGTGTCTTTGGTACTTTACTGGGATATTGTAGGTTGGGAGAGTGCTTGTTAAGGTTGGATATAATAATTTTTAAAATTCTTTCTTACTGGTTAAGTTTTCTAAAAATCTCAAAGGATTGGTGCCTAATCTAGTTCATAGCCTGTTAAACCTGTTCATTGTGAGATACGTCATACATGTTGAATATGTTCGACATACAGATAGTAAAAAATAATTAAGAGCACACTATAACCGCCACCCCAGTCAGAACATGGGGTATTGCCAGCACCCTAGCAACACCCCTGTGTGTGTGCCCCTTCCCATTCACAGTCTGCACCCCAAGGTCACCACTGTGCTGCTTTGTGTTACCTTCTCGCCTTTAAAATTTTAGTTACACTATCTGTGTGTGCAGTCTTAACTGATAAAATTAGTTTGGCCTGTTTTGAGCTTTATGGATTCATATTGTACGTATCTTTTCGTGGGATCCCTTTACTCAACATTCTGTTTGTGAAATTCACCCATGTTGTTCTATATTGTGTTCATTTACATTGCTTTATGGAATTCTGTTGTTTGAATCTGATGCACTCTGTCCATTCAGGTTGGTACCGTTGTTTTGGCTCATGTACACGATACTGCTACTCTAGCAGGGAGTACCGGGGAGCAAAGTGTGTAGTGCACACGTTCAGGGGTGGGATCCCTGTTGGCTGAGTACTCACATCTTCAGTAGTCCTAGCTAATACCCCAGAGTGGTTGCTTTCTTTTTTAATTTTTATTTTATTTTTTATTTTTTTAAAGATTTTGTTTATTTATTTGACAGAGAGACAGCGAGAGAGGGAGCACAAGCAGGGGGAGTGGGAGAGGGAGAAGCAGGCTTCCCGCGGAGCAGGGAGCCCGTTGCGGGGCTTGATCCCAGGACCCCGGGATTATGACCTGAGCCGAAGGCAGACGCTTAACGACTGAGCCACCCAGGCGCCCTGAGTGGTTGCTTTCTTACAACTTTCAGTGGATATATTTCTATCAAAATCGTGGAAATGGAAAATATCTTTCCTAATTTATTTTATCTCTGATCTCTAATGTTAATTCAAATGATTAAAAAATAAACCAAAGGTGTATTTTTCTCCCACCCCCCCACTAGTGAATTTTATCTATGTTGGTGGAAAGTAGGAATCAGATAGAACAAAATAAACTATAGTGAAATAACTCTAGTTAGAAAATAAAAGTATCTAATTACAGACAAGGGAGGCAGAGAATGCAGCACAGGGGCTTTTGCATAATACTCAGTTAAGATTTGTTGGTTGATTAATCTGGGAGTGTCTAATTCCTGCAAGGTTTCCTCTTCTGAACAGTGTACCATTCTGTTCCTAAATTGTACTTTTCCGAATTCTGGGGCTCCTAATTTGCCATTAAGAACTGGATAGTATGGAAAGTTAGAGTGGGAAGCATCTCGTAAGTTTACTGACTCTTACGCCACTGTCGGGTTATTAATTCAGTCAGACACATGTATTATTTAAGATTGTAATCTCCAAAAAGCAGGGATGGATTTTTCAGGGGTTTATAGGAAGAGTCTGAAAATAAGCTCTAATTACCAAAAGCAGGTCTGGGCCTGTATTACAGTATTTAGGGTAAAAAATATCATAATGCCAAATTTAGGAGTATTTACTTTCAATCCATTACTGACTTTTCTGAGAAAGTTTTTAGAAAGTCTTTAGAAGTCTTAGAAAGAATAATTTCTTTTCTTAATTTTATTTTATTTTATTTTTTTTAAAAGATTTTATTTATTCATTTGAGACACAGAGATAGAGAGAGCATGAGCAGGGAGAGAGGCAGAGGGAGAGGGAGAAGCAGGCTCCCCGCTGAGCCAGGAGCCCAATGTGGGGCTTGATCCCAGGACCCTGGGATCATGACCTGAGCCGAAGGCAGACGCTTAACCATCTGAGCCACCCAGGCGCCCCTCTTAATTTGATTTTAAAATTAAGGTGAAATATATGTAATAAAACTTACCATTTTAATCACTTTAGACAACTCAGTGGCCTTAAGTACATTCACATTATTTTGCAGTCATTGCCACTGCCCATCTCTAAAAATGTTTTCATCATCCCCACAGAAATGCTGTACCCATGAAATAACAGCTCCCCAGTCCCCTCACCCCCAAGCCCTGGCAGCTACCATTCTACTTTCGGTCTCTATGAATTTGACTCTTCTAAGTACTTCATAAAAGTGTACTTAACAAGATTTGTCGTTATGTGACTGACTGCCTTGTTATTTCATTGAGCAGAATGTCTTCATGGTTCATCCGTGTTGTAGTGTGTGTCCAACAGAAAGTTCTTTCTTCTTCTTCCTCTTCCTCCTCCTTTTCCTCCTCCTCCTCTTTCTCCTCCTCTTCCTCCTCCTTCTTCTCTTCCTCCTCCTCTTCCTCTTCTTCTTTTTTTAAGAGAGAGCATGTGTGCATGTAAGGGGCAGGGAGGGGCAGAGGGAGAGGGAGAGAATCTTGTGAGGGGCTCAGTCTCAAGACCCTGAGATCATGACCTGAGCTGAAATCAAGAGTTGGACGCTTAACTGACTGAGCCACCCAGGTGCCCCAGTAAGTTCTTTCTTCTGAAGGCTGAGTCATATTCCACTGTATGTGTAGACCGCATTTTGTTTATCTGTTCATCTGTCTGTTGACACTGGGGTGGCTTCCACCTTTGGGCTATTGTGAATACTGCTGCCATGAACATGGGTGTAAAATACTGTTGGAATCCCTGCTTTCAGTTGAATAGTTGCTTTTTAATCTTTCTATATCAGACACCTTTTACTTAGGAGTGTTGAATTGATAGTGAACTGCTCTCAGAAGCTGATCAGTTATATCTTCATTTTCTCATCCTCTGAAGGAAGGGAAGTATGCAGCATCATTGATTTCTGTCCGTGGTATCGCTAGAATAGGTGCCAGCCTTTCAGTGACCAGGACACCACAGTTGTGGTATTTTGTTGTTGATTTTTGTATCCATTACTCATTTGAGTCATCATAAAGTAGTATGTCATTTTTTCTTAAAATACCTGCCTTATTTGGTTAGCCTATATAGTGCTTTATAATTTTAAAAGTTGGGTGAAAAACCATAGCCACGTATGTAAAATGAAACACTTTTGTTTATGCTTTTACTACAGAAATTTATCCTACGTACTTTAGTATAATAGTTATTGAAGGCCTACATTTTGGAGAATTAGCATATACCAGTGGTTTTCAAACTTTTTGGTCTCAGGGACCCTTCATAGTCTTAAAAATTGTTGAAGACCCCCACAAGAGCTTTTGTTTATGTGCATGTTAGCTATTGATATTTACCATACTAGAAATTAAAACTGAGAAATTTTTTAAAATTACTAATTCCTTGGGGCGCCTGGGTGGCTCAGATGGTTAAGTGTCTGCCTTTGGCTCAGGTCATGGTCTCAGGGTCTTGGGATCAAGCCCCACGTCAGGCTCCCTGCTCGGTGGGAGGCCTGCTTCTCTCTCTCCCACTCCCCCTGCTTGTGTTCCCTCTCTCGCTGTCTCTCTGTCAAACAAATAAATAAAATCTTAAAAAAAAAAATTACTAATTCCTTTAAAAATAATAAACCTAAATGTTTTAAATATGTTTTGTATGAAAAAAGTCATATTTTCTTACTAAAAACATTTACCAAGAAGAGTGGCATTATTTTACATTTTGGCAACATATCTTTTAATGTCCGACTTGGTAAAAGATAAGAAGTAAAAGAGCTTCTTATATCTGCTTCTGCATTCATTCAATCTATTGCAGTATGCTGTTTTTGTTAAAATATATGAAGAAAATCTGACCACACAGATACGTAGTTGGAAAAGGAAGAAATATTTTAATAATCCTTTCAGATAAGCATGGATTTTTTTTGATAGTATACTAAAACTTAACAAGTGGCAGTTTCTTAAAGGTTAGTAGCAGTAGGGAATTTTAAATGTTATTGGTGAATTTTTTGTACTTGGTTAGATCAAAATCCTTTTGTCTTTCTTGCACCTTGATGGCTCTTTTACTCAAGCATAACTTGTATCCTCATGCATTGATCATTTGGAAAATATTGGTTCACTAAGTTATGTGAATCTTCCAAATACTGATACACTATGAAATATGAAATGCAATATAAAAAATTCACATTTGTTAATGTTACCTCCAGTTGCATGCAGGATATCTTTAAATCTTGCGGAGCTGTCAAGCTCCTAATGATAGACACTGGTTTTCCCAAAGTTCTGATTTTAACTTGAGTGCTCAACTTTTGTTATAGGCAGCATATCCTGTCAGTTGTTTTCCTTAAAGTGACATGCTCCCTTTGTCCATGTTTGAGAAGGTGCCTGCCAAAGACCCAGGCCATCATTTGTCATTCATTTTTTCCAGGTATTCCGTGCAACAAACATCAGTTCAGCTTGCAATTTACATGACAGCACAGGTGCTTTTCCCAATGTCACCCTTGTGCTTCAGGAGTCAGTAGGGATGCTTTCTGGGTACTGGATAGTTTGAAACACAGAATATTAACCAACCGTGTGCTAATGGTTGAGACTTAATAAAATTAACAATTTGTACCTCATAAAGAATATTCTTTTTTAAAAAAAAGATTTATTTATTTATTTTATTTTATTTTTTAAAGATTTATTTATTTATTTTAGAGAGAAAGCACAAGCAGGAGGGGCAGAGGGAGGAGGAGAGAGAATCTCAAGGCGACTCCACACTGAGAGCGGAGTCCTATGTAGGGCTCCGTCTCAGGACCCCGAGATCTCAACCTGAGCCGAAACCAAGAGTCGGATGCTTCACCTACTGCACCACCCAGTGCCCCCATATTTATTATTTAAGGAGAGAAAGATGGGGGAGGGGCAGAGGGAGAAGGAGAGAGAGAATATCAAGCAGACTCCCCGTTGAGCACAGAGCCCCACTTGGGGCTTGATCTCATGACCCTGAGATCATGACCTGAGCCAAAATCAAGATTCGGACGCTTAACCGACGAGCCACCCAGGTGCCTCTGCATCAAGAATATTGTTATGTGAAGCCGGCATTTTTACAAAACCCCGGGAGTGCTGGTACATTTTGGCGCCAGTGTCTTCACTGGTACTAACGAGCTGAGTCTGACCCACTGTTGCTTTTGCACCCTTGATAGACCTGTCGGTACAGTGCAGAAGGCAAACACTGTGTCTTAGTATTATTATGAAGATAATTTTGACTTCATGGATCCCCATCAGGAGGATTTCAGGGGAATTAACCGCTTACACTGTCATATGTAATGTGGATGCTTTCATAATCATGGATTCTGCTGTTAAATAGTTTAAAACCTGTGTGTATATAGCTGGGTCTTGAGAAGTTGTGTCTGCTTTTTCCACCTGTGGCTGCCCCACGTCAGAACAGGGACTGAGGCCATATTACAGAGTGGTATTAGCATTTTAGGAGGAGGAACATGGTGTTAATTTGAATTTTATAGCATTTGTTTTTACTTTTTTCCCTCAGGTACAAGTGGTTTCTTGAGAGAAGTCCTGAGAGAATTTAGTGATTTCGATTTATAGACTCATACAAAATACATGTACTAGGACTCATCTGAATTAGAGTATCCCAAGGAAATGACGTGTAGCTGCCGCCTTGCTCCTGCCTGCCTCCTATAAACTTTTACTTGAATACCTAGTTTACACTGAACTCTACGCCAGGACTGAGAGAGAGAGGTTCCCAGCCTCTAGGAGCATAGAGAAGAGTGTTCGAATGCGGCGTGGTGAGTGCTGTCGTGGAAGGTAGCGCAAGGTGCTGTGTGGGAGGCTTCACAGGGCAGGTGCTGTTGTAGGTGGGTTTTAAAGGAAGTGCGTAGGCGCTTGGCAAGGAGTGGAGACATGAAGGAGAGGAAGGACACAGGACTTTGGGGGGCAGGGAATGGCCAGATGCCACAGTGTAACACAGGCAGGGCTGGACCCGGAGGCTGTGGCCAGAGAAGAGGAGAAGGGTCTTGCTGGGGTTTGAGCCCATAGACTGGAGGTTTGCAAAGTCCGGTGCCCAGACTAGCAGCGTTAACATCTCTGTGGAACTGGTTATAAATGCAGACTTTAAGTGGCAGGTGTTTTGGGTGGAGCTCGTCTGTTTAGCCCTCTAGGGGACTGCCTGGGCCAGGGGAGAACAGTGTAGGTTCTTCAAATAGCCTTGAAATTTAGAAAGGTCACCCTGAGGGCCCTCTGGAAGGTGGGATGGTGTGGGGACGTTAGGCAGCTAGGCATCTAACTGAGATGGTGTGGGGACGTTAGGGACCGCAATTGTCCAGTGTTTTTATGGTTGTGATGCAGGCCTGGACTGATGGCAGTAGGAAGGAAGAGAGGGTGGATTTGCTGGAGATGGATTCTCTAGGACTTTATCACTAGTAGACAGCTTAAAAGCTATGAAAACAGCTGTTCTTTGCTCTGACCTGCCTGCAATCAGGGATGGAGGCATTTTTAAAGGCCCTTGCGTCTTGTGTCTTCAGGCAACAGCTTTTACCCATAGTGAAAAAACCAATCAGATAACTTGTCTGAGCCTCTTGAGTCTCCTTTTTGAGGCTGCCCGCTCAACTAGGATGATGGCCCCTGGAGGGCTAGAGTTGCACCAGCAGCACGCAGAGTCTTAGAAAGGACGGCAGGGTGTGCGAGAATGGTGGGGATTATTTCATTCAGATATGCCCAGCTACTGGCAGATGGCATTCACACTCCTTATGTTGTCTGTTGTCTCTGAGCTGGCTAAGTGTACCCTTTTACTGTTTGAATTTGAGCTATCAGTAGCTCTATTTGGTGTGTCTGTGTGTGTGTCTGTATGTGTGTAAAGAGGGCGTCTCCCAGTTTCAGTTACAGCAGTTATTCAGTTAGAACCTCTCTTCATCAGTGTGTTAAAGTTCTTTTTTTTTATATATCCTATCTTGTTTTACAGATTTGTGAGACTCCAGGGCCTTCAAGCTGTGATTAATCAGATGGTTCCTGAAATGACTGGGAAGACAGACACTTTGGTGCCCATCGAAGAGCGTATGTCTGTGTATATCTAAGACCTTCTTTGTACACATACACATTAACACCAGAAGACAGGCTCATTCTTGTGCACACTTGAAGAGTTTTACAGCTGATGAAAATTAATTTAAGAATCAGATGGAGCAACTTGACACTACTGGGCTCAGGAGCCCGGGGAGAAAAATATGTTACTAATGGTCAGTTTTCCACATGGTCTTCACGGGTAAAGAAAGTTTGCAAAAAGAAGAAAAAAAAACTTGCACAGTTCAAGCCTCAAAAATACCTCTGCATTTTAAAGAAGGAACTAAGTGAGAAGGTGGCCGGGGGAGAAGCGTGGTGTCAAGCAGCACGGGCGGCATCATGCAGCGGGTTTTGCACTTTATTTTCCAGTGTTTTTGGTGATTTGGACAGACTTCAAAACTCTGGACTGAGAAGTAACTCTGGCTGTGTGTCTGACTACAGGAAAGCAAGGTCAGGTATGATGGGACAAGTTTGAACGATGACCTGGTTCCTTTGCCTTTTTCAGTTAACTGTATTCTCGAAGTTTTAATTTATTATTTCCCTTTTCCTTTCCCATATCTGTAGGATAATATTTTAAAGTAGCAACTGAAACCAATATTTACAAAATAAGTATCAAGGAACATCCAAGCAAAGCTTCTTTTCCTTGGACTTTACACGTGGCATTTGGAAGCACCTCTGAATGTGAGCAGGAGAGTGCCCATCAGCACAACATGCTGACTCTTTAGGGAAACAGTGCGGAAGATCCCGACACTTGTCTGTGTTTTCATTTTAAGGGCTTCTCTTCCCTGTTGAGTCCGTATAGGAGGAAGAGTACTTGATAGACTTAATTCTGAGATTAGTCTTTTCCTTCAAGATGGAAAAATAGGTGATCTTTAGGAGCAGAAAGGGGAGAAGCCAGTAGGGGAGGGAGGAAGGAGACGGGGCAAAAGAGAATCCTGTAGTGAGGCTCGGTTTTGTCAACGAGAGGATTTAGGATTCACCCGAGGTGAACGCTTGTGCCACTTCAAGAGCTTTAGAACCTTCTGGCTCTGTGAGTGAAGGGGTTTTCTCTCTCCGCCTCTATGGCACCGAGGAATGCACTGGTCTGTGGAGGGCCAGTCAGATGGAGCCCAGCTCTCCGCCAGGACACAGCAACCTGCCTGCTGGGAAGCCAGGCCGGGCCCTGAGGTGGGAAGTTTCTGGTTCGGAACAGTGGGGAGAGTCTTTTTTCCTTGCTGAGCTTGGACTGCTCTCTGCACAAACTCTGGTCTGTTTTGCACGGTTTGTGTGCCTTTTTTTCCCTTTATGCAATCTTTTTCAGCTTCAGCAGCAGAAATTTGTCTAGTTGAGAAAACATGCCAGAGGGTGGCTTCAGAATGATGATTCAGAAGATGATCCCATGTGTTCTGTCTCTGCATCTGAACTTTTGAAGAGAAAATTCCAGCTCGAGGGATTCTTTAAAGCCTTAAGTTACTTGAAATCTATGTATTTGCAACCCTTTGTCTCTGGAATCGTATTACACTAAACTGGAATCTCAGGCTGAATGAGAATAACCAAGTTGCGTAAAAAGAAGAAAGCCCCGTTTCTTGATCAGCACGTGTTAATGACGCTCTTCCTCTAAGGACTTGAAAATAAAAATGAACGCATGTTGTTTTTAAGCATTACCTTTTCCTAGCAGACTGCCATCATCTTTTCTAGAGGAATTTTTTCACTATGCATTTGGTGGATCTTTATAAAATACTGACCTTGTAATTAGATCTAGGTCAGTCTTCATTAAAAGGGGTCGGGGAAAACAACGCAAGCCAACCACAAAAATCACATCAGTCAATTGATACATGAAAAGAATTGGTTTAAGTTTTTCGGCATTCAGCATTACTTTTTAAATAAAACAGTTCACTGAAAAAAAGTATGTATGCAGCGGTGGAACATGGGCCTGTCCTTTGCAGTGACTCCAACATCCTCTGCCTGTCCTGGAAGGGGCGCGTTCCCAAGAGTGAGAAGGAGAAGCCGGTGTGCCGGAGGCGCTACTATGAGGAGGGCTGGCTGGCCACGGGCAACGGCCGGGGCGTTGTCGGGGTGACCTTCACCTCGAGCCACTGCCGCCGGGACAGAAACACGCCACAGAGAATAAACTTCAACCTGCGGGGCCACAATAGTGAGGTGAGCTGGGGTTTGTTGCACTTTTTGTCTGCTTACTTGGGGAGGTATTCTCGAGCCCCCTCCCTGTGGATTCCAAACTTGCTTTGCTTCATTTTCTCCACTTGCTGCCAAGTGACACTTTCAAAACTGAATTCTGTCTCCCATGTCCCAGTGGGAATGTGTTAAGGTGGACACGGTTCCCAGTGGCCTGTGTCCCTCCCTGAGGGTGTCCGTTCTCTTGGGCGCCCTCACTCTCCTTTCCCGGCAGTGGGCTACGCACCGGCAGGGACACTGGGGTGGCTATCTGCCCAGGCTGGGAGGTTCGATTGGATGATCCGAAGCAACATGTCGTGCTCTCAGCCTTTTTGGTCACCCTGTCTGTGTAACAAAGAGTTACTACCCCTGTGTGAGACTGGCACTGTAAACAATGAAGGTGGTGTTGCCTTCTTCACCTTACATGGTTAACATCCGCCTTGCTCTGGGTGACGGTTTAATACCTACTGTGTATTTCTTGTACTTGGAGGTGCAAGAACAAAGGAATTCATTGGACAGAGGTGACAGTAATTAACTGGATAAGAGCCATTGTGTTTCATATCTGTTGGGTGTATTATATTGATATTATGCTCTCTCTACATTTTTAACATATTTAAGGATCTATGCACTAATTCTAGTGAAAAAATGTGGCTAATTTTGGATTAAAGCCAATGAAAAGTCATTGCAAATCTTTTTTCTCTTTCTTATGAATTCTTCACAAAAAGGTGAGTTGGTAGGTTTGTGATCACCCATTGTAGTGTTGGATGGAAGAAAGGACTGTGTTTTATTTCCCATTTCTGTTCCTTTTTTTCCATATGTCTGTTATAAGAAGTTCTAGCTCTACCATTTAACTAGCTGGTGTGGTCCTGTCCGAGTCATTCAAGTCATTAGTTTATTCATTGAATTGAAATGAGTTTACTCATTACAATTGAAATAATAATTCCTTTCTTTCAGAGTTGTTGTAAGAATCTATGAGAATATAGTTTTGCAAGGGCTTTGAAAATGGTGGATACTATGTATGTGGATGGTGATACTGTATGCCTCGTACACCCTAAACTGTCCAGCCCTTGTCATGCTACTTAATACCCTTAAATTTCATTATTAGTCTGACTCATGAGGCCAGAGACAGTGTTTTTTGATTTTTGTTTCACAGTTAAGATATGAAAACACATATGCAGTCAGTAGATATTTATTGCATCTCTGTCGTGTGCTGTGTGTACTTGCCACCACGGGCCAAGATGAATTATGGATTATGCCTGATGGGAGTCTACAGTCTAGCAGTAAAGGTGAGGTGTGTACCTGGGTATCTCTTTCTCCATGTGTGTTTCAGTTAAGTATGGAAAGGAAGATTTGGGTCATTGAAAGAATTAAGGCTGAAGTTTACTACAGATTTTGTTGTGAAGGTGACTTTTGAGCAGGGTCTTGAGAAATAGATAGAATTTAGGTGGGTTTTTTTGTTTGTTTGTTTTTAAATGACTGATGCAAGAAGATTAAGCTACATTCTGGCCTCAGAGAAGCAGTTTCTCTCTTCTGTGTGACATGAAGGTGCTGGGTTTCCTTTGGCTCCAGCCTGAGCACATGTCTGTATTCACCTTATCACATCAGGTGTGTCCCCAGGAAGATGCATTTGGGGGCTGGCTGGACAAGGACAAGGACCTGTATGTATATTTTGCCATCCCTGGGACAAATCCACCATAGTTGATAGGAAGTTGACATACTTTGCTCTTCCCACTAAACTATGAAATGTTTACTGTGTATAGGTATACTCTGGTTTGTAAGGGGGATTTTATTCATATTGGGGCATTCTGTACTCCAGTTATTCCATGGCAGAAGGTTTAAGCAAGGTGCTGCTTTAATATATCTGATTTACACAATGCTCAGATGTAGCTGTTTCTGGGCTTAACGTATGAGCATGCGGTTGTAGTCAAGTTTGAAAAATTACACGCTCATGTTCATGACCTGAGTTAAAGATAATTTGTTAGTGACTCACTTTATGTGGCTCTTCTGGTAAAGCAACCATCTCTGTTTATTTGTGTGAGCATATTTTAGTATGCTAGGTGACCATGTCTGTCTTGTTTCCTTCCCAGGTAAACCTTTTAAGTGTTCACCATGTAGACACACCGAATTTAGAGAGCATGAACCAGAGGCCACTGTTGTTTGCCTGCAGTCTATGGGGGAAAGCCCTCTTTAGGATTACCCTGCAGGTGCAATGGGGGCAGAAGCTGCCAGGGCTGCCTTGTGGAATTTGGGGCTTTGTTGATGTGCACAAGAGATTTGAAAATTTAATTATATACAGATAATTAAAGATATGAATTGCAAAACCACAGTCCCTCAGCTTTTCTTATACTTTTTCAGATAAGCTTGTACTATAATAACAATTAACAAACAATGGGCACTTACCTAATTTTATATGCTGGAAGGGAATTTAAAACAATAAAACGTACCTTCTAGGTTGATCCATTTTTATCTTCCAGCGTTAGTATTAAAGATTTTTCTGAGTAGGAAAAATGGGATAAGAGGATCTTCATAATGAAACTGGGAAGATGGAGCAATATATGAATGAAGTAAATGTGGTATTTAAAAAATATAGTTTTAAATTTCCCAAATGTAGCCATAGTTAACTTAATTTTTCTGGTGAGGGATGTATCTTTTATTTTTAATTTTAATTTTATTTTTTTAAAAGATTTTATTTATTTCTTTGACAGACAGAAGGGGGGAGAGAGAGAGAGAGTGCGCACAAGCAGGGGGCATGGCGGAGGGAGAAGCAGGCTCCTCACTGAGCAGGAAGCCTGATGCAGGGCTCCATCCCAGAACCCTGGGAACATGCCCTGAGCTGAAGGCAGACATTAACCAAATGAGCCACCCAGGCGGCCCTGTATCTTCTTTTTTAGAGTGGACTTGAAAACCTGGGTGGTGGGTGTGCTGGGGTGCAGAGTGCTGCAGTGATGCAGAGGATGAAGCCTTGGGCCAAGAGTGGCTGGTAATGCTTTCTGGGGATGGAGGTGGGGCATGAGCTGGATCTCAGAGCCCCTTTGGTTCTTTACACACTTGAGCGTCCACCGTCGGTTGGCCACTGCTGGGCTTTGGCTTCACAGCAGCCAAGGAGCAGTTCCTGCCCAGGTGACCTGTGTGTCAGAGTCCGGATGTGGTTTGCATGGAAATAAAGCTGGTGACAGTAACTGCTGATGACAGTTGCCATGTGTCACGTGGCCACAATTTTCTATGTGTTTTATGTCTGTTATTTTGTTTAGCTCTTGTAACAGTTCTCTACAGCTCTGTTTTATTCTTCTACCCAGCTGAAGAATTTGAGGTTCAGAGATGTGCTGGAAGTTGTCCAAGGTATAGAGCTAGATGATGATGGCAGACCTGGGATAAAATTCATGTCTGATTGTTTTTCCTTCTGTAAGACACTGCTTCAACAAAGGTGAACCATAGTGATCAGAGAAACAGAGTTATGAGTGACTGTGTTTTGGATGGTGTAGAGTTTGGTGTGAAGTATTGGAGCTGTGTGGACTGGGAAGACTGGACCCTGAGTAGTCATGATGAAAAAGCAACAGTGATGAATGTTTGTGGGATGAAAGAGGTGCCGCTTTTGGTTTGGGTTGCATTCTAAGACCATTAGAAGACTGTTGTATTCAAAAAGAAGTGTTGAAAAAAAATCAAAGGGCAGTATAAAAATGATCATTCAGTTCAGTGCATTGATCCACCAATGTGGAAACCTGAATTGACAGCACTGACTTAATTTATTATGGAATTTATTTGATTATTTTAATATTTATTATGTTTTTATAACATGTATTTATATATTTATAGTAGTTTATTATGGAAATAATAGTCTTCAAGAAGTAGTGTCTAAACATGTCACCGTGATACACTGATAGTGTGTGGATGGCCCTAGTAAGACTCTTGGGATAAGAGCGTAACCAGGTATTATAGATGGAAGATGTATGTGAGAAACCGCTCTTTTAAAGGTGTCTTAGGAATTTTGAACAGGGAACTGTTCTAGCAAAGAGGCAGAAATAGGACTGTTTCTGTATATTAAGATTAGAATTTTGTTTCACCTAAACTGTCTTATCTGTTTTTACAGCAGAGCTCAGTAGTGTAATTTCTTCTTTATCACAGGAATACTCACACGTGGGTAAATGCTAATAATGAAAAATAGCAGTGTTCTCACTTCTGTCTCCTTCCCCTGCCTCCTGTCCAGGCTATCACCGAAGGCTTATATTATTACATGTTTGATTAATCAGTTTTGGGATTTTGTCTATTGGCTTCTTTCCTATCTTGGCAGGTGGAGATTTAGCTCTCTCTTCCTTGATCACTCAGCCCAACCTTGGCCTGCAAGCTAATCATCCCAGTATTGCTCTATCATAATTGGTTAACTCATTATTCAGTATTTACATTATTTAAACTGTGTCAGTATTGAGTCCAGGCGAGTCAAGTAGGATACTGTGATTATATTTCCTTTACTGTTCAGCACTTTTTTCCTTTGTGATAAAAATAGTCTCATTTTGCAGGATGCCTGGGTGGCTCAGTTGGTTAAGCGGCTGCCTTTGGCTCAGGTCATGATCCCAGGGTCCTGGGATCAAGCCCTATATCGGGCTCCCTGCTCGGCGAGCAGCCTGCTTCTCCCTCTCCTACTTCCCCTGCTTGTGCTCACTCGCTCTCTCTGACAAAGAAATAAATAAAATCTAAAAAAAGAAAAAGTCTTACTTTTCCTAGTGGTTTGGTTTCTTTATCTGTTGTGAATCTTCCAGCATCTTCAGTATGTTTCTACATGTTCAAACCAGTAAGATGATTTATTGGTTCTTTTTGTTTTTGTTTTTTTCCTGGAGACCTCTATCTGGGAGTCCTTTGTCTTCCTGCTGCTCTTTGGATTGGTGGCTCTATGGACCTGCTGCCCAGCTGACTTCCTGAACTTCCCTTTTGTCATCACCTTGAGAATTTCCTTTGCCTCTTACTTCTGCTGTATCTCTTGTTTCTTTGACCTT